AGGAAGGAAGGAAGGGAGGAAGGGAGGGAGGGAGGGAGGGAAGAAGGAAGGAAGGAAGGGAGGGAGGAAGGGAGGGGGGAAGGAAAGGAGGGAAGGAGGGAGGGAGAGAAGAGGAGGAGGAATAGGAAGGAAGGAAGGAAGGAAGGAAGGAAGGAAGGAAGGAAAGAGGAAGGGAGGGAGGGAGGGAAGAAGGAAGGGAGGGAGGAAGGAGGAGAAGAGGAGGAGGAGGAGGAAAACACAGAGTAAGAACATAATACTTCCTTTCCTCTCCACAGCAACCAAAAGGTCAGCACAAGTATCCATTCTTTTGTGTACCTGATCACCAAGGGGTAAAGGTTGCCCGGAGAAAGGGGGACCTGGGCACAGAGACTCAAGAGCTGCCAGGCACCGGTGCTCACGCCTGTCATCCCAGCTACTCAGGAGGCTGAGATCTGAGGATCGCGGTTCAAAGCCAGCCTGGGACAGGAAAGTCCATGAGACTCTGATCTCCCTTGAACCACCAGAACACCGGATGTGGCGCTGTGGCTCAAGGGGTAGAGCGCCCGCCTGGAGCTGAAGAGCTGAGGGACAGCGCCCGGGCTCTGAGTTCAAGGCACATGACCGACAACAATCCTCATCATCAGTAGCTAGCCTTATTCCGAGTTAAAGTGCACCTTGTTGAAAGTACACCTGTCTTGGCATTCATATGACAGAGACAGATACAGGGAATCCAGCCCAGAGAGCTCACTAAAAATACACCCTGAGAAGCTGGCACCATTACCAAACCTGAATAACACATTATCATTTCACGCATCCCAGACCACCCAGCCTCCACGGGAAGAAAAAAAAAAAAAAAGCAAAACACCTTTTTTCTTCTTTTTTGGAAACAGCTCTTTTAAACAAAGCACCCACATTTACATGGGCCTGGGTGATTGTGTTCACAAACCAAAAAAAAAAAAATGACTAGAAGAAGCCGGGTGCCCGGGGCTCACACCTGTCATCCCAGCCACTCCAGAGCTGAGGATCACGGTTCAAAGCCAGCCCAGGCAGGAAAAAGTCCGTGCGGTTCTTATCACCAATGAACCACTCAAAAGCTGGAAGTGGTGCTCTAGCTCAGTGGTAGAGCGCTAGCCTTGAACAGAAAGAGCTCAGGCGGGGCCCTGAGTTCAAGTCCCAGGACCAGGATCCCCGCTCCCCCCGAAAAATGACTAGAAGAAACTCAATGACATAGAGGTGATGGTCTTCTGTGGACAATGAGATTATGGGTGATATTTCTTTCTTTTCTTTTTGGCGGTTGCGAGACTTGAACTCGGGGCCCGGGTGCTATCTCTGAGCTCTTTTGCTCAGGTCTAGCAGTCTTTGGAGCCACAGCTCCACTTCTGGTTTTTCAGTGGTTTACTGGAGATAGTCTCACAAGGACTTTTCTGTGTGAGCTGGCCTTGAACTTCGATCCTCAGATCTCAAGCCTCCTGAGTCGCTGGGATTACAGGCGTGAGCCGCCGGCACCCAGCTCTTTCCTTATTGTTAAAGCTACTTTATTTAGGCGGGTTTCTGTACAGAGCGCTGTACATACTGAACCTACAAAACTCGAAGTATCTGGAAATAGACGCCATGATACCATGGCCCTAAATGTATCCAGAACTTCCAAGCATCTTTCTATCCTTGCTCTCAGTTTTTGAATATTTTTTTCTGTTCTACTCCACCCAAACA